AATTTTTATCTTTTAATTAAATACAACAGATTAAGGGGATTACTCAAGCTACAAGTCAAAGCCAATCATACGCGTTTGCATTGAATGATAGTGCTCTTGCAAACTTGGAACTTACCGCAACTAAAATAAATTAACTATCTGGGAGCAAAAAGATGAAATAGAAACCCAAAAACCAATCGCAGATTCTGAAAACAATCCGTTTTTGGCATCCGAGGATGAGTTATGATAGTTCTCATTGATAATATGTTTAATCACCAAGTTTTACTTGTCCTAATGCTTTTTTTCTGCGAACAGTATGTATGTTCACAGAGAATTCTGAGCGAAGGGACAAAATTACCAGCTCCTAATAAACGAGGAAACGAAATCGAAAAAGACGTTCCTACACGTAAAAAGGTAAAAACTATATGTGATAAAAGCTACAAGAACGTAAAATCTCATGTACATTTCCCTATATTTAGGCAAAAAAGAGCGTGGAAAGTGATCCTCAACCAATAAACGGAATGTCTTCCTTTGAGTCTCTTCCTTCTTCTGATGAGGGTAACAAAGAACGTAGTGAAGAAGACGACATGGAAATTAAATTTGACCTAACGATTTTTTCAACCGAATTACAACGTGAACTGACAGTCAAGGTATGACACATTAAAAATTGATTCTCTTACTGCATGTACCTTACAGTATGCTTTGTTTTTAGTGGGAAGTTGGCCACATCAATGTGACTGATCGGTTTCGGCAGTACCAGAAAGAGATTATTGAGAAGGCGGGAATAGTAGGGTTGAAATACGACAATATATACGAACTCTTGTACGTATTCTGAAATATCGAACATTTGACTAACACAACAATTTTATTGAGCATCTTTTTCTCACTATACTAGAGCTTTATCGTCGATTATCGTCCTTTCCTGGCCATGTCCGTATCCCTCCTTGTTTACAATTCAAGAGTGGAAAGAGGTTACAAAAAATAATCCATATACTGTCCAAGAATCCTCACTTTCACCGGATATTTTGTCATCTCTTAATGAAGCATCGTTTAACATTTGTGGAAGGCGGTAAATAGGCTAGTTGCACGAGCGGTTAATGACTTGTATGTAATATAATTTTATAATACATATGTATGAGATTGTAGCTTATATAATTTTTTTACGTCGTAGATATGACAGTGTTATGAATATTGCTCCGTTAAAATTGTCCGAAGAAGAACATTGTCTACGTTTCGTCTATCCAATTTCTCGCCCATTTTTCGTCAGTGAGAAAGAATACGATCTAGTATTAAACCGTTCTAATTCGGGTTCTAAAAAAAGACCGGACCTTTCATGCATGGTAAACGGTGTACCGATCTTGAATTCGGAATTTAAACCTTTGGGAAGTACACCACT